TATTTATTTATTTATTTATTTATTTATCTTTGAATCCTGCTCTGACCTAAATAAGACTAGAAGCTGACTTAGACAAATATATAAAATATGAATACAAAAGCCAGTAGATAAGACATGATGAAGAGAAAATAAAAATCTAATCTAAAGCTCAGAGGTAGATGCCTTTTTGCTCTATTGCTGCAAATGCGTCTCCAGTTTAATGCAGAACTTTATACTGGACAGAGCAAAGAGCACTACCCACTGCATTATAACAGATGGTGTTCATGAGATCGAAATCATGTTGGTTGTTCATTAAAACAAAAGATCAAGACAAATGTTTGCTCTGTGTCTTTTATAAAAGACTGATACAGACCTGTCTATACACAGTCCAGTGGCGAGGTTCAATTTTTTTCCCCCCTGGTGTCACCTGGTGAAAGCTTAAGATATAAAATCAGAGTCTGCTGATAATGACTCTGCAGAAAGGACAAAGTCCTTGGAATATGGTCTGAACTCCCCAGCACATATTTTTTGCTACCCCTATATTGAAATGACGCAGCTCAGAAATAAAGATCGTATCATTGATAGCCATTTTGGATAAAAACCTTTCCAAAAGAAACTTTCCCCTTGAGGATGAGAGTAACTAAAATGCCAGCTGTAGGAATGCAAGAAAATATTGACAGTTTAGCTAACGTCTAGCAGATCAGTTCCTCTTCTCCTGTGACTATTTTGATACTTGACATGTATTTATAATGAGTTTCATTGGAACTATATCATATGTGCAATTAATTTAATTGACTCCACTTAACATGCTTAGCAAACATGCCTGTATCCCCCACAAAGAAAAAAAAGGAAATGCAGAGAAGGAAGGAAAGTTACAATTTAAATGGTGTGTGGTAAGTCTACTCACTCAATATGTAAATTACTTAGAGAAAACCTGATATGGGAAACATGATTCCATTGTTTCTTTAGTCAGTTTCACCTTTGTGGAACTCTCATAAAGTAAGCACCTTGCTACTCCAAAGATGATTCCAATACAGATAGATATATACTCATATTCCATGACCTCTGAATACAATCTAACTACTTCTTCTGATGTTCTGTCAAAGAAACAGCAGCGTATTCTAATTCAGAATAAAAGGAAAAGAATTTAAAAAGAAAAGAAAAATTTGCTCTATTAGAAATTCTAGGAAATACTTAGGGAATTTAGGGAATTTTCAAGGGTATTTATTTATTTATTTATTTATTTATTTATTTATTTTAAGATTTTATTGGGGAATTAGGGGGAGGGGAACAGCGTTGGGGAATCGGGGAAGGGGAACAGACAGGTAGACAAATTGCTGTTTTTGTTCTTCAGTCTAGTTGTGGAGGACATCGCTACACTGGCCCATGTTGGTTTGATCATTGTGCTCTTCCCGGGAGAGGACATCGGTCACCGGTCATTGGTCAGCCACTCACAGCGGCTCCCAGCAGCTCACACTGGCTGCCGGCCACTCACACTGGCTGCCAACCACTCACGAAGCTCATGGCAGCCTACTGCAGCAGGGACTGCAGCCTGCGCCGTGGCCAGAGACTCACAGCTGCCCTGCTCCAGGTTGAGCTGTTGTTTATCATCTTAGCTATAGAGGGCGAGTGTCACTGGCCCTCAATGTGGGATCCGAATCGCAGCCCTGCTGCTCAGACCTGGCGCTCCCAAGCGAGCTTTTAACCAGCTGAACCACTTGGCTGACCCTCAAGGGTAATTATTAATGTTCCCTTTTTCCCTTGCTGACTCTAGAACCTGACCTTCTAAAGAGATACAGTCCCATGCGTATGTGAAGGACAGGCAGTGTGGCATAGAGATAAGCAAGCACTGTGGTGTCAAAAAGACCAGGATTTGGGGCCGGCCGAGTGGCACGTTGTTTAAGAGCTGGCTTGGGACACCAGAGGGCCCCGGTTTGGATCCCACATATGAGGACCAGTGACACTGCCCTCTACAGCTAAGTTGCTGAACAACAGCTCAACCTGGAGCTGGGCTGCCGTGAGTTGCTGGCGACGTTGTGGGCTGCAGCCCCTGCTGCAATGGGTTGCCATGGGCTACCGTGTGTAGCCAGCAGCCAGCGTGAGTGGCCAGCAGCCACTGTGATTGGCCGTCCAGAAGCCAGCAACTGATCTGCCTCGCCCGGGAAGAGCGCAATGATGGTGCCAACTTGGGTCAGTGAAGCGACATCGTCCACAACTAGACTGAAGAACAAAAAGAGAGCAACTTGTCTGTTCCCCTTCCCCCAATTCCCTGCACTGTTCTCATCCCCCAATTCCCCAATAAAAACCTTAAAAAAAAAAAAAAAAGACCAGGGTTTGGATAATGAGCTCCATCACTTCTCTGCTGTAAAACTTTTAACATGAGATTTAACTTTTCAAGCCTCAGATTCCTCATGAAGAAAATGAGATTAATGATGCCTACTTCATCAGGTTGGAAAATAAATAAAATCATGTGTGACGAAGCACTTAACATCCAATGATAATGGATTATTAGTGCATCACACCGGTTCCCTACAAATCAGTAGAGTTATTATTTGAGCTTGAAAAATTTGAAAATAACTCGAGTGATAAATGATATTTACTTTTAATTATAACTACAAGGCTATACATATGCATATATATATATATATNACACTCTGGTTCCAAGGGCATGGTTCTATGACCCCAGTCTCTTCTCACATAGCTCTTGTCACATGTTAGTGTAACTTGCTTTTGTTTTCTGTCTTGTCCCCTAGACTGTAGAAGAGACCATGTCTGCCTCATTTACTACTGTAGTTGCAGTTGCTATGTTTCTAAGGGAAATATTTTTAGTATAATTCAGTTAGAAACTTTCTGATTAAAAAAAGAAATCTTAACACTGACCTCCTGTTACACTGTGATTTGTAGGACTCATTAAAAGTTGCCTTCATGAATTCCTAAATAGATGCCTAATCGTTTTTTATAACTATTTATGTATGTATTTATTTATTTATTTATTTATTTATTTATTTATTTATTTATTTATCTTTGAATCCTGCTCTGACCTAAATAAGACTAGAAGCTGACTTAGACAAATATATAAAATATGAATACAAAAGCCAGTAGATAAGACATGATGAAGAGAAAATAAAAATCTAATCTAAAGCTCAGAGGTAGATGCCTTTTTGCTCTATTGCTGCAAATGCGTCTCCAGTTTAATGCAGAACTTTATACTGGACAGAGCAAAGAGCACTACCCACTGCATTATAACAGATGGTGTTCATGAGATCGAAATCATGTTGGTTGTTCATTAAAACAAAAGATCAAGACAAATGTTTGCTCTGTGTCTTTTATAAAAGACTGATACAGACCTGTCTATACACAGTCCAGTGGCGAGGTTCAATTTTTTTCCCCCCTGGTGTCACCTGGTGAAAGCTTAAGATATAAAATCAGAGTCTGCTGATAATGACTCTGCAGAAAGGACAAAGTCCTTGGAATATGGTCTGAACTCCCCAGCACATATTTTTTGCTACCCCTATATTGAAATGACGCAGCTCAGAAATAAAGATCGTATCATTGATAGCCATTTTGGATAAAAACCTTTCCAAAAGAAACTTTCCCCTTGAGGATGAGAGTAACTAAAATGCCAGCTGTAGGAATGCAAGAAAATATTGACAGTTTAGCTAACGTCTAGCAGATCAGTTCCTCTTCTCCTGTGACTATTTTGATACTTGACATGTATTTATAATGAGTTTCATTGGAACTATATCATATGTGCAATTAATTTAATTGACTCCACTTAACATGCTTAGCAAACATGCCTGTATCCCCCACAAAGAAAAAAAAGGAAATGCAGAGAAGGAAGGAAAGTTACAATTTAAATGGTGTGTGGTAAGTCTACTCACTCAATATGTAAATTACTTAGAGAAAACCTGATATGGGAAACATGATTCCATTGTTTCTTTAGTCAGTTTCACCTTTGTGGAACTCTCATAAAGTAAGCACCTTGCTACTCCAAAGATGATTCCAATACAGATAGATATATACTCATATTCCATGACCTCTGAATACAATCTAACTACTTCTTCTGATGTTCTGTCAAAGAAACAGCAGCGTATTCTAATTCAGAATAAAAGGAAAAGAATTTAAAAAGAAAAGAAAAATTTGCTCTATTAGAAATTCTAGGAAATACTTAGGGAATTTAGGGAATTTTCAAGGGTATTTATTTATTTATTTATTTATTTATTTATTTTAAGATTTTATTGGGGAATTAGGGTTGCCTGGACATTAGGATCTGAGCTGCTTCATAATGTTCTTATGAAGAAGAAATTAAATAATGCATACAGTTTGCTTAGCTATTTCCTCACAGGTGATCAGCACACAATCAATGTTAGATAGCTAATGCCATCCACCAACGTTCATGAGCTGTGTGGACTCAACCATGCTCTATAGAGACACCAACTAGGCTCTGGGGTTTTTGTTTCTCTTAGTTTATAAGAAGTCAAACATGACTCAACGTGTTAGCCAGATTATAAATTCTTTCCTCCTAACCACCATGGCCCATGTCATTTCTATGCATCCTCATTCCTTCTCAAGAGGAGAAAACCAAAGGCCAAGGCACAAAAGTGCAACAGATGCTTTTGTGCCATTAGGAAGTGGTTCGTTGCATTTTTTTTTTTTTTTTTACAGGTGGTCTACAGTTACATAGGGTGTTTGGCAAAAGACACATCCTCTTTGGAAGTTAAGCCCTGTATTTTGAGTAAATTGTCATACGTCTAAATGAGTCCCTCACATCATGATGGTGTGCTCTCATGTGGTGCTTTCTTGTCTTTTCAGATCCCCCAGATTAGTTATGCATCAACGGCACCCGAGTTAAGTGACGACCGGCGCTATGACTTCTTCTCTCGTGTGGTTCCGCCTGATTCCTTCCAAGCTCAGGCCATGGTAGACATTGTAAAGGCCCTAGGCTGGAATTACGTGTCTACTCTTGCATCTGAAGGAAGTTATGGAGAGAAAGGTGTGGAATCCTTCACGCAGATTTCCAAAGAGGCAGGTAGGAAGAGACCGCAATGGTCAAGATGACCCTCTTCCAATGTCTGTGGTTTGTAGGGTTCTTTTCAGACTTTCTTGAACAAACGCTATAGCTAGTCACCATCTACCGACTCTCACATCCCCCACTGCTTGTGAAGTAGATCTGTAAAGTCTTTCTTTACAACACTTGTTTTTCAAGAGCATATTTTCAAAAATGTGAAACTAAAGTCTCGTAAAGTATTAGTGGAAGGAATGGAGAGAAGAAAATACGTATGTTCTAAAATTGATATCTCCTGTGTAATGGGTACTTGTGTGGATTGCTGCTTATACATGAAAACTGGAGAAAATATGGCTAAATGTGCCTCTCAAGGCATGCTCTTTTTCTCTGTTCCTTTCTAACGTGGGGAGAATTGTTTAGCATTATGAGAACCCAATCACAGGCACTTTACTTTGAAGAGGAGTGACAATGATGGCTCTGACTGACTTGACCAACACAGAATTAAATAAATTATTCAGATGGTAGAATGTATTTAGACAAATATGAAACTTTATATTAGTTTGAGAAAGATAGTTATAATAAGTAGCACTTGAAGAAGATTCTTTTATGCTTGTTTATTTAGCTCAAATTGGAAATAATGGGTTCAGATATTTGGCCAGAAGTCTTCCATTGGGCAGAGTTTGAAAAATGAGATAAAATCCTCACACCTAAGAACCCCAACAATAAATAGTCAGGCTTCCCTAGATGGAAATATTGGATATAGTGAACATGGAATATAAAATGTATGCTTGGATATTCCTGTACAGTTCTTATGCTAAAGCCAAGTTCTTACTTATGTTTGCAAGAATTTTATCTAATTTAAATTGTTATTGATCGGAATAGTTAACCAACAGTAAAGACACACAGCAAGGTAATAGAACCAGAGGTCCTTTTCATGAGGGAAAATGTCATAAATCCTGAAGACATGGCTGTGAGTATTTGACTGTCAAACTACAGATACACTTACTCATATGATGTGTCAGTGTATAGATGGCATATCTGCACGTTGCTGCTGAAAGGAGGAAGCCAGACCTTGGCTGTAAATCCCATGGTTTTTACTCAAGTGCCTCATCATTAGCTCTAATTTCAAAAATTCACTGGAGAGTTGGGTCATTCTTATGTTCTTTTTTCTGACTGAAATACTCTCACTCTTCACACCTTTGACTAGATGGCTCCTAACCATGAACAGGCCTCATCATAAAAAAAAGCCATTTCTAGGTTCAAACACACACACACACACACACACACACACACACACACACACACACACACACACACA